AAGAGCTCAATACAAATTTTACCGGAATTTAATCGACGACAAAACCTGCAAACGTAAGTACTTCAAATGGAACCAAATGTGCACAAACTCTGTCGGAATTTAATCGATAACAAAACCTGAGAACACTTTTACGATAAGATGTGAAGGGTGATTGAAAATCTAAAAAAGCAGGTCAGGTTTATTTTTTAAGTATTAGGCATCGATTTTATTGGTTGGAAAAAAACAAATCAGAAATTCTAGGATCTATTTCGAGCGACTTTTATTTTCTTGCCGTTTTAAATCTTGCGAGCTCACAATGTGATTTTTCTTTAACAAGAAACATTTGAAATCTTTTACAGTGAGCAATATTTGCATATACAATCACTTGACTTTTCATGATTTCAAAATTTTGAATTGATTTTAAGCAATAGGTGAATTTTTAGTTGGATATTTAATAAGTAACTTTGTGACAGTTTGGTAGTAAAATACAAGTATTCTCATAGGTTTGCATGACTTTGTTTCTTCCCTCCGTCGTCACAACGGATGGGCTCTCTCTCTAGTTTGGCAACCTTTGCTTAAGTACGGCAAGAGTCGTCGGTGTACCGCCACTGCTGTTGCCCAACCACCTCTCTCTCTCTCTCTCTCTCTCTCAAAACAAAGCTTGTCTTTGATATGAGCACCACATCAGCGTCACAAGTCTGTCACGTGCCACATTAATGATGCCACATCACCAATCCGATGATATCAACACTAATGATGAATGGTCTACATCGAATCATTCGAAAGAGGTAGACACTCGATTGCCTAAAAAGTAAACTAAGACGGACCAAATTAATCACTTATCCGCTAAAACCCTAACCAATTCGTACTCAACCCCCACAAAATCTCATTGTGATCACAGATCGTGGCCAAAATGTCCATGGGGATCGATAAAAAGTAGTTATAAAGCCTTGGAAGGATTCCATGGGGTCACCCAAGTGGTTGGGCAATTCATCAATGTTTGCAATAAAGTTCATTGGGGTTTTGCCAAAGTTGTCTTTAAGAGGTTTAATAATAGGGCCCCAGATCTCTCCCCCAAAATTAGTGGATTGGACAAGGAAGGGTCCAGAGCCATAAAGAGCCATAAACGAGGGATCTACCATTTTTATCCACTAAATCGGGACCACCCCAAATATCTTTAAAATAAATTTAAGCTTCAAGGGCATAGAGATTTACTTGGTCAATTTCACATTTAATCACTCGAGCGGAGCAAAATATGCATTTTGATTTTGCTGCAATTAGATCACGACAATTAGTTCGTGTGCAAGTTATATTGAGGTGGACATGTGGATTGTGTTGGAGAAGCCTCGTATCGGATTGCTAGTATGATTTGGAGCAATTAATATATTTTTGGTTTTTTTTTTGGTCGGATTGATATTTTCTTAGTCGACTCACAACTTTCTTTTTTTGATCGAAAGAAAAAATTCCATTCATTTCTTAGAATAATACTCGAGAATAGATATGACATCGTTCGACGGCCGATCACCAGATTTAGTGATGAGCACATGCCGAGATCTCCTACTTCATTTGCAACGGATTGCGTTGCGTGTTTAAATTCAACGTCCTCATCACCATCGCCGTGCAAAAATACCAACATCAATACGTTGAAAGAACACATATCAAATACTTGTAAAGAACTCCCAAATCTATATCCATATCTAGTTTGGGAGAGTAAAACCCCTAGATCTAGACCTAAATTTAAATCAGGAGAGGAGAGCAGCCTAATTTGGGAGAGGTTGTGGAGCCATGTCACAAACTTCCTCCTCAATGGCCGTTGACTGAATAGATTGACAGATTCAGATTTGGGCGTACTCAGAGATCTCTCAAATAAAGGTATCGAGTTTCTAATGCGTCGACCCGACAAGTTTGATGAGTCGTGCAAAGGATGAGATGAATATGTTCTACAGTATATATTCACTCTTCATATCAAACAAACCTGTCGCATCAAAATTATTAAGAAATTCACAGCTAGATTGAGCTTGCACATTATTTATTAAGGAGTGCACCGCCCATCAATAGTTTCAGAATATTCTATAACTTAAGTTGTTGGATGAGATGGATAAATATATTATAATGAGAATTGTATATTGCTAGAACGGAGGTACACAGACAAGGATTTTTGTGTATTTTAAGCAAATTATATACAGTTCGTAACTTTCGAAGAGCTACTAAATTCAATTAAAGGGCATCATTAGAAGACTACTGACTAAAATGGCATACTTCAATTTTGTTAACTATGATGGTAATTCCTTATTTACTTTCTATAACTATTGTCGTCAGGTAAAAAAGTTTCTTACATTAAAGCGGTGAAGCCTACAGTTCCAACAGTTTCTCCAATTTGTTCCTTATATAGTTAATTTATTAATTAATTGATTTCATGGTTTTTTTTATCGCCGATTTCATGGTTCGATATTAAGATTTTTTTTTAAATCTACAGAATGGTTATTATGAAAATTATTATAGAAACCGGCTCTGGCCAATTGTTTTTCTTCTTTTCTTCAAAAGAAAACTTGTTTAGAATTTGGTACGCCACGTCAAACAATGGATAATTCTTTTCCACACCGTCTCACTATAATAGTAAACGTGGAGAATTTTACTCAAGTAGGCTTTTAAAACATAGGGGCTATCTATGAAAACTTGGGATCCGTGTTTATTTGAAGGAAAACTATTTCTAGAAAATTATTTTTTGACTTTTCGATATTTTGCCAATGGAAAACTAGTCAATCTACGAAAAACATTTTCTATAAACTTAAAACAAGTTTAGATCGAGGGAAAATGACTTTCCTTTCTAATAAGAAGGGAATTACTTTCCCTAAACCACCAAATAAATAAAAATTAATCATTTTCAGTGAAATAAATGCACCCTTCAATTTAAAGTTACCATACTGAACTTCAAAAAAAATCAAAGAAATATTTAAGGAAAAAAAAAACAACTTCTGTTTTGCAAATTGGAGACTTTCTTGTTTGAGAGAATCATACTGGAACAATTATTGTCCAGTTTAGTTAGTTTTTAATGTTTTTTGTTAATTATGATCTATCAATATTCTATTCTCATCCATGCTAATATGTGCATCACAATTGCTCTGCCAAGCTTGGGATGGTCTCGGTCTTTTGCTCAATTTTTTGTGAGATTACACGTGAAATTAAATGACAACTTATGAAAATTGCGGACTCTGCATGCTATCCATCTATTATACGGATTTTAATGATTCTTAATACGGAAGAAATGTTACATAAATTATATTTTTAGGGTTGTTAATGCGGTAATTTATACCAGTCAAATCAAACGATTGTGACCCCTTTTTTTCTCTCTACAATGCCAACATAATATATAATTGCCATGAGAAATGATATGTTTTATCAAAAAATTGAATTTAGACAACATTCTCAAAGTAAATCACGATTCCATCAAACTGATAGCATCGCATGTGAATGAAGAATTCGCATTAACATACGATACGAACTAAGAATGTCGTCTTTATTTTGTTCGATTGAGGAAGATCTATTGGAATAGGATACAATTCAACGAACAATTTATACCGAAATATGTATTCCAATTACACAGATGAAATGTATAAAAAGCCCAGAAGAAGCATATGTATACATATAAGAAAGTGAAGGCCTAGATAAGCAAACAGGAAACAAAGGCCACAAGGCCCAAGACCAGAAGAATAAGAGGATATCCACATTTGATCCCTTACATATTAATTAGCCTTCACAAATTAAATTTCCATTTTCCCCTCAATATCATTCATCGAGTACTCGATAATCTCATAAACACCATGCTTTGCCTAAATTAAAAATTTAGTAATAATGACTTTTGGATTTAATATTTACATAAAATTGGGAAAAGATATTTATTTTATATTTATACTAACAACATATTATGAAAGCTTAATAAGGCCTTCTTAAGCTTTCATGTCTCCAACTCAGTTCATCTTACTATTAGATTATTACATAGATGAACCCAACAAGGAGTATGAACCATAAAAGAAAATACCTATTAAACCGATCAAAGGTATACCAATTACAATACCTATTATCCAGAGAGAAACCCTTCCAGTAGTATCGGCCATTTATCCCTCTTTCCTCCGCCATTTCTTTCGTTAAGTTGTCATGCTAAAGACATAAACAGCCATAGAAAATTATGAAATGTGATCCTTCCGAATGGGTTAAGACAATTCTTATTATTACTTAGTATTCTACTATTCTTTTTTCTTCTCTTCATTGAAGAAATAATTGTAAAATAAAACAACAAGTACAAAAATGAGTAATACCCCCAGTAGAGACTGGTACGATTCAATTGAACGTTTTGTTCGTTTGGGTCTGATCGTGTCGTAGCTTTATAGTTTGAATTAGGTTTATCGTTAGATGAACAACATTCTTGATATCGGCCCTATAAAAGAAAGGGATAACGACACAAATGGTCTATGAACTTTGACCCAATGTACAATGTGGTACTCGAACTTTTAATTTGTTCAATGTGGTCCCTTAACTTTAGCCCAATATATAATGTGATCCCCGAACTTTCAATTTGTTCAATGTAGTCTCGAGACTATTGGTACATATTCAATTTAATATCTAAATTATATGAAAATATTTAATGTTGTCCTTCCATTAATTTAAGTTCAGGGACACCATTGAACATTTTTATATAGTTCAAGGACTAAATTGAACTTGTACCAAAAGTCCACGGACCACATTGAACAAACTAAAAGTTCAGGGACCACATTGCACATTGAGCCAAAGTTCATATACTACGTTGATATTGCATATCGAGTCAAAGTTCAGAGACCATCTGTGTTATTTTTCTAAAAAGAAACGTCTGGTACAGTCAGATCTAAGCTAACCATCGCACTACTACATAAATGGGATAGGTCCGAAGAGGACGAAAAGAGAAAATTTAGGGTATCGAATGTAGCGATGAATATAATCTAGGGTTTTTTTTAGGTGGGTATTTCCTCCATATGAAATTCATGTGTCCTTTAAGCATGAGGTCGAAATATGCCTTTTGCGAGAGAACTGAATAATGTTCTGTTTCTTGAGGTGGGAGTGAACTCTCTTCACCGAACTGAGGATATTCGTCTGACCAAGAAAGCAAGAACACAGGATATTCGCCGCATTTCTTCCACCAACGAATATTCACCCTCACCTTCCCCCTCCTCCACTTATACTCTCCTCCTCCGCCTCGCTCCCACCTTCCCCCTTCCCCCTCCCGCTCCCCTCCGGCGCCTTCCCGTCTCCGCCCGTCGCGGTGGTTTACCGGCCGTCCCGGGACGTGGCCATGAAGTTCGGCAAGAGCCTGAGCAACCAGATGGAGGTGACGTTGCCCGAGTGGCGGGACAAGTTCCTGTCCTACAAGGAGCTCAAGCGGCGGCTGAAGTCGAGCCACCCGAGGCCCGGCGAGAGACCCATCAAGCGCCCCAGGAGGGCCGACGCCCCGGGGTGTTGGTGCTTGGATCCCGTGCTGGCGGAGGAGGTCGAGTTCGTGCGGCTGCTGGAGGACGAGCTCGAGAAGTTCAACGCCTTCTTCGTCGAGAAGGAGGAGGAGTACATTATCAGACTGAAGGTACTTCGATTATGTCTTTGCTCTGTTCTTGCGGTTTTGCGTCATTTTCATTTTTTGTTGTTTCTTGAATCGGCAATAGAACAGAGAGAGAGAACTTGGTTTATGGTAATGTGATGTCTATGTTAGGGACATAATGAATAGTAAGGCACTTATTTATGGAGTTTTTTTGCTTTAGAATGCATCTAATTCTATTCCTAAATCGGTAGCTTTTCCACAAAAAAAAAAGTGCTCTCTTTCGAGCGTTTCTTGTTTTCTCTTTCCAGTGATTTAATCATTTGCTTGTGGTGTGAGACTATACGAGGTTCCGGTGCGATTTTGTGTCTACTGCTCTGAACACTGACAAAAGAAAACGACAAGTTATGCTTGTGCCAAATGTGTTTGCTGCCCTGGGGATTGAGCAGTAGTAAGGATGATTCCATGCTTTCCGCTCGGGAACCAATGGTTGTGGGTTCGAGTCTTGCCATTGGAATAAGTGGGGAGCCATGGCAGTGGGTTGCTGTGCGAGTTCTCCTCCAAGTTGCCGGCTAATTAAGGTCGCGCCCCTAGGTTATAAAAAAGATTGCCTTTCTGCAGCTTGGTCTTCAAGTTCCACATCGGCCGTGCCTGAGAGATTATTTGGGATTGGTATAGACATAGTTGGCACACTTTCTTATGTTCTTTCACTGGTTTTAAAGAATAGCGGGTTTCTCTTTTACCCTTTTCTCTATACAGTGGAGAGTAAACTCAGTGATATTCTTGTTTAAAATGGAACAAGAAAAATATTTTTGTTTATTATGGTGTGGTTAGACTGCTCTAGTATTAAGCTGCCTAGAGTCAACAAGAAGTTATCGGCTAAATACATTTATGACTTTTGAAAGAGCGATAAATTTGGGAAACAGTGCAACCATCTTGGATCACATAAAGTGGACAGACTTGAACACTTATTAGGGACAGATTCAATTTGTTCCTATACTTTGATTGTGTGACCGTAAATTTACTAAGTAATTTAAGCTAAACATGGTGATGATGGGACAAACGCTGTTAGAACTTGGAAGGGCAGCAAAAAGCGTCGTCGATTTCAAATTTGACACCAAAAGGCAATGAAAATCTCTATGGCTAGCAGTTCCAAGTAAACCAGAAATAGAAGCTAGTCTCTCCCAGCTTTTGACTTTTGAAAAGGAATGTCAAAATATCAAGTAATGTTCTAGAGTGTATGGAATAAGATTAACACATGTTTTTCTGAATTTTACTCTTTCTGGCTAAAAGTTGCTAGGAAAGGTGTCACCTTTGAAGTGTAAATTCAACTGTAGTTGCAGGTTAAAAGCCTAAGCCACCCTTAATTGGTGAGCAGCAACTAACGGTTTTCTGCTGTGGGGTCCTCTAATTCAGTTTGAATATAGGAATTGAGATGTGTCTTTATATGTTCTTCAATGTAATTGTAATGATTAGTCTCCTCGTAAAAGATGGAAGTGTTAGGCAAAACTGATCCATGTTTTAGATACTGAAATTAAAGGGAGAAGTATGCAAAGAGATTGCTGAAGCATACTGGGAGAGGATAATTGACTCTTGTGCCTTATATTATCTGATGCAGGAATTACAAGATAGGGTCGCTGAATCAGAGAATGTTAGCGCAGAGATGATAAAAATTAGGAAGGAAATTGTAGACTTCCACGGGGAGATGGTTTTGTTAGAGAATTATAGTGCCCTCAACTATACAGGTACCATTTTCTCTCTGACCTGGGCCCTTTTGAGTTGATCATTTTTCATGGCATTCTTGTCAAGGTAGACTAGTATCTACGTTCTGTTTACCCCACTCACAGCAGAACTCAAGCTGTAATCATTTTCCTATATATTTCTTACATATCGATTGAGTCATCCACCATGGTTTAAGGAATTAAGAGACAAAATAGATGTTACCACTGGTTCAACTTGTCAAGTTGTTATCTTGTGTGCGATTCTGCTAGTATTTGGCCCACAAATTTTTTGGTCGGCTTTTTTCCCAGTTCTTTTAAAAGAATATTGTCTCAGATAGCAATTGATCTTTTATGCTAACGCTAGGCAAACCTAGATTTCATTTGGTGGTATTGTAGCTTTGTTGGTAGATGGCTCGCGTCATGAGATACTGGCTTGCCATCTGACGCTTGATGACAAAGTTTAGCTCTATGAATTGGTAAAATTTGCTAATTCACCAAATTGTGGTCATATGGAGGAATCATGTAACAGATTTTCATTTCTTTGTCTTTTGTGATGTTAAGTAGAAGGCCAGTAAGGCAAAGCGATCTTCTGGTTCCTCAGTGGTTCTATATGACGTAACACAGAAGTGTTTCCATCAAGTAATTATAAGTAATTGGAGCATTGTCAGGAATTGTGTTGTGTCGCATGATTTAATCTGAGATCAATAACTCATGCTGTCTTAAACAGGACTGGTGAAAATCCTGAAGAAGTATGACAAGAGGACAGGAGCTCTCATTCGCTTGCCCTTCATACAAAAGGTCTCGCAACAGCCATTCTTCACCACTGATCTGCTTTACAAACTTGTGAAAGAGTGCGAGAGCATGCTCGATCACCTCTTCCCTAATAATGAAACCCCAGATTCATCTGAGGTCTCTGATGCAAGTGAACAGTATGATCTGACAGCTTCCACCTCAAATGGGAGTGGCAATATGTTTAATGCGAACAAAGAACTCATAGAGATCAAGCCAATGGAGAGCTTGTACATGAAGAGCACTGTGTCAGCATTAAGGGTTCTGAAGGAAATCCGCAGTGGAAGCTCGACTGTGAGTGTGTTCTCTTTACCACCCTTGCAGAGTCAGGGATTCGACGAAACATGACATAAAATCCCTGTTCTTGAGCAAGCTGCCAAATAGCAGTAACATTTGTTTGGCAAATGCATTGTGTTACACTTCTATTTTTCCCTTTTTTCCTTGCATGCATCATAGATGCATGATTTATACACTGACAGTTGTGTAAGAGGATGCTGAAATATATGGAAAAGTTATTACATACCGGTAGGTTTGTGCATAAGAATCCTTCAGACTGTTGTAACTTCTATCTTGCAGAAGGAGGATATCATGCAGTTTTCTTCTTATGGAACTTATTTGTCGTTGAAATCTGAATACCCTCCTTCAAATATTGCTATGTGCACAAGATAATGCTAAGGTCAGCTCGTTCCTTCCTTGCAAGATGGATAGATCATTCAACCATAAAAAACCTGTCTTGAGCTTTTCTGAAGTTTATGTTAATGTAATTTGAAGGACGAGCATCTCCCTGGTATTGTATTTTTGTGCATCACCATCTAAGTTTTCCTTGGTTGTATACATCTCAGGCTTTTACTCCTCTGCGTGAGGAAAGCCTTTATCTTTATATACCCGAACTAAGGTCTTCAAAAGTGATCTCAAGGTCACGTTCCTTCTCCTTCCTCCGCCGTATAGACGCTCAGAAAAATTCAGTGTTTGCTGATTGACATTGAAAGAGGAACTCCACGACAGCATCGCACAAGAACCTGCTGGAGTTGTAGATAAGCGGGTTGGTGTCCCTGTGCCTTAGCCCTAAAACATTACTCTATAGATTCATAACGAATTGATCAAATCTGGGGATTGAGCAAGCTTGTCGCTTGAATGTCTCGGGATACTGACCAAAAAATCTCTTGGGACACTCCATTTTGCAGTAATTATTGGCCGTCGGTACCACAACAACGCCCTGATAACAATATAGTACGATTGTTATACTATCTTTACTACTTTCAGATTATAAAACGAAACACAATTTGTAGGCTATATGACTTACTACTTTCAGATTTCTTTCAAATACTTACTCGAGGGTCAACGACTGTCATTAACACACCTTCCAGAAGCACACCAAGGCAAACAAACAGCATGGTGACAAAACGAGGTGAGGTGACGATGCATAATGCTCAATTTAGGAGTCTTGAGGATTGTGGATTCGTTTCCTAATTGGAAGTCACCGAAATTCCATATCTTTTACGTGGGATCTAAGTAATGTGCCTTGCGATTAGGATATGGATTATGAAATAAAATGTTTGAAGGTTAGTCGATGATTGGTTATTGTAGTTCATTTCGCATACTATTTACACAAAGCATCGGTCTGTAACGGTGCGCGCACAACAAAAGACACAACAAGATTTGCCAGCATAACATCTCACAGTTGATGCAATTTCTTTATCTTTATAATTTACTTGCGGAGAGCGTGAGTTCGCGACAAGTTGTCTGTCCAAGAAACGAATGCAGCAAGACTTCTATTCTGGCAAGAGTATCTGCACCTGTACGCCTTTAATAATTGAATTATCTTTTGGAAATCCTCCAATTATGATATCATTAGCACTGACCCTTGAACTAAAAAGCATCTCTGAGGAGATACATTTCATAAATTAATGGTAGGTTGCAGTTTAAATACCCTAATGAAGCAAGTTGTCCACATCCAAGTTAGCAAAACAGTTCATCTTACTGTTATTTATATCATAGCGATGGATTATTCTTTCTCAACATATAAAGTTTCTTTGCTTATCTCTTTGCCGTGAAGGCAAGGCCAAACCTGTCTGTGGAAAATCTCAAGCGATGACCAAATGTCATTTCTTAGTCTTATTTCCCCACCATATTTTCAAACATCAACAGCTTCTTCACACGCTATATATGCATATGGGCAGATCATAACTCATCAAGACACCAACATCACAAAGCCATTTTCCTTCCATCTCAAAAAGATGACATCACAGGCCAAGGAATTTGTGGATGAGATGAGGATGGTGTCGATGAAACTGCACACCAGAGAGCAGGCAAGAGAGGGAGAGAAGGAAGTGAAGGGGCCAGAGGAGAGGTCGGTCTCCAAGTGGGAGCCAACCGTGGATGGGTATCTGAGGTTTCTTGTGGAGAGCAAGCTGGTGTATGATGCACTTGAGGGCATTGTTGACAAGCCTGATTTCCCTTACTGTGAGTTCATCTTTCTGATTCTTGATTGCCAGAGGAGTCCAATTTGATTTTTGCCTTTGTGGGCCAAACAGATTTGTGTGGGTAGGTTGAAATGTTTGGTGAGACCTCCTTTTTTCCTTTTCTTTCACTATTTGATGAAAAAGTGATTCTTTTTGTACAGAGTTTGTCGAGTTTGTGAGATTTCGATCCTGTCAAATTCGATGTGTCGAATGGAAGCAGGATCGATCTAGATGGGCTAGCGGGGATTATTGTCTCTGATTTCTATGGGTTTCGTGTAATGTTAGGCTAAATTGCTCCTTCTCTCTCTTACATTAAGTTGGGATGGAGTGATCAAGGAAAAAAGAAGGGATTTAAATAATTATGAGAGAAATAAAGAAATGATATAAAATATAGTTTGGACGCATGTGAGGGAAAAGAGATAAAAAAAAAACTTATTATGACATAACTCTCCAATTTAAAATGTATAATATCATGATGTTTTCTACCTAAAGATATATGCCAATTTAGAAATAGAAACTAACTTGAGAGCTCTGTCGAATTTTACTATTCAATTCGATTTTCGACTCACGTTTTATAAATTTGATACTTCGCTTCATAATTTCTATCTAGATTAGATTATGCCTACAGTGATTCATTCCTTGAGAATGCATCTTTGATGAACACAAACAGATCTTGCAATGCGTTTATTTCACTAAAAAATTCATAATAAAAGAAAATGTTTTCCATGGAAATCATTTTCAAAGAAAATAGTTAATTTTCATTTGTTTGGTGGTTTAGCGAAAGTGATTTCTTTCTTCCCCAATCTAAGATCAATTAGTTTTCTACATCCAAAAATCGGAAAGTCAGAAGAAAATTTCTCGAAAACAATTTTCTTTCAAATTAGATTATATATTAGACCACATCCCTTCATCAGTTTGGTGAATCGTTTTGGATTCTATTCGGCTCTTACTCTTTTTCGTTTGATTTCCAGATGCTGAATTGAGAAACACTGGCCTGGAAAGATCTGAGCAATTGGGGAAAGACCTTGAGTGGTTCAAAGGCCAAGGCCATGGAATCCCAGGGCCATCTGGTCCAGGTGTGGACTATGCATGTTATCTTCAAGAATTGTCAGAGAACGACTTTCCTGCCTTCATCTGCCACTTTTACAATTTTTACTTTGCCCACACTGCTGGCGGTCGAATGATTGGCAAAAAGGTAAACAAAAAACATAGTACTTGCTACTCCGTCTATCTATGTTCTTTTTTTTGATAAATCAAGTCTGCACAAAAACTGAAATGATATGCTTGTAATATTGTATATATGTACAAGCAATTTTGTTGGCCACACAATGTATCTACTAGTATGTCCATTTTTGTTAAGCATCATATATGGTTTCGATCCGGCTTTGCTCGCGCCTGAATTGTTACGCCGCTACATAAGTCTTGTCCAATGCTAAATTGGCAAGTTGCGTTATATAATCCTGTTAAATTACTTTGTTTTCTTTCTTGTTCAAGACATTCAAAAGTTGCATAACTTGTCTCAAGGAACTGTGATTGGCATAATTAGTCATAAACAACTAGGAGTAGGGACATGCACAAGATTGTGTTGAAAATCAACCCTCTTACTCTGATGCTTCAGGTTGCTGGGAAGATACTCAACAACAAGGTCTTGGAGTTCTACAAGTGGGATGGTGAGCTCAAGCAGATTTTGCAGAATCTGAGGGACAAAATCAATAAAATCACTCTGGTGCTGCTCCGGCCTCTCCCTCTAATTGCTTTTTCTATTGTCTCTCTTGGTTCTCAGTCTGTTTTCCTTCCTGCGGTGACTAAAACATTGTCTTTTTGTGTTACCTAGGGCTGGACTAGAGAGGAGAAGACTCATTGTTTGGAGGAAACAGAAAGATCTTTCAATTACTCAGGAGACATCCTTCGTTTGATACTGTCGCCAGTGCAAAACTAGGGCACGTGCGCGGGCACGGGTTAAATGTTGTCACCAGACTGTAACAACAGTGTATCGTATGGATTTCCATTCCGAAGGATTGTAAAGATTCAGAAAGAATATATCATCATTCATTCACGTCCAAGATTCTACTCAGGTTACAACAAGAATTGCTTTACCAGTGAAAATTGCGGTGCCAGATGCTGAAGACTTCAATGTGTTACAGACTTGGCCGAGCCAAAAAGATCGCTGCCATTTTATAATGTCTGCAGTCGTGTTATTTCAACTAACATAAGCTAATTATGACACATTAAGTAATTAAATTACACTAGCTTTGCATATTTACAAAGATCATTGCCATGACCTCGGAGCTCTGCCACCATTGGAGCTCTTTGAGCAACTTCACAATGATAACTTTTCAATCAACATTTCCTTGAGGGAACTCACTAATCTGTGGAACACCTTAAGATTGCTACCTATTTTCTCCTATAAAAAGAAACAGACTCGTCAAAAAGATGATCCCATAGCAGCAACAGGCATAGGCCGGCCAATATGCCGGGCTTCGAAAAATAGGATGAAGAAATAATGCGCAATACCTCGTTTAGCAACTCAAGCCGTTCCAAGATTGGAATCAATTCTTCACACAACGGAGATACATCCTGTGCCGAATTAGGCTTGGAACCGTATGAAATTGCTCGACTAGTCCCCATTGTGTCAGATGAAAGCAAACTGCCAAGAAAGTGGGATGTTCATATGCAAGGCAGAGAGAGAGAGAGAGAGAGAGAGAGAGAGAGAGGACAATGTCTGTACCTATCTTTAAAATGGATGAGGAGGACGTTAAGAACCTGCTCCGCCAGTGGAAGCAACAAAGTGATTAGCTGATCTTTATTGCCAGCAATGCGGCACATTTCTACCATAGCAATATACCTCCTGAAGAGAGCGAAAACATCATGAAACTTATCAGAATATCTGATACACAAAAACCACAATAGACAACTTCAAATTCTTATACCACAGATTAACAATGCATATAAGGATTAAAGAAATTATGTGAGACTGCAGCCACGCGAATCACAAACACAGAAGTAGCAAATCACAAACACAGAAGTTGCTCAGGTAAACATTAACACGGGAATCATTATTCCATTCCAAGAATGGTGGATGCCCATACAATTCTAATCATGGCTTCTATTAAAGATATTTCCGATAAGTTTAAAATTACTCTGAAGTCAACCCATTCCTTGTCACTATATGTGATGTAAGGATAACAAGAAGGGCGTAGGACAGCAAAATTGGAACAACTCTAGCTACATGGTAGATTTCTGGGAAGGCCTCATAGCATATATACATGAAGATCATTCATCCCCTCCTAGAATCATAAAAATTGATTCTTGGTTCTCAAAATTTAGTATGTTAATTATACTTTCATATTTCAATTCCTTGCATTTGTTTTGGTTATTAAATCCTTCAAAAACTGTAACAAGCATAACTTGTCATAAACATATAACAGTTATCCATCTTTGTCATAGTTTCCAAAACATCAAAACACCACATGACAAGATGCTTTGGATAAAGGAAAATCCTTGCTACAAAAATCTAGATTGTACACACTTTCATTTACATGGTAGATACCTTTTCTGCAGGTTGTCATATGCTGAAAGTGTGTCTCTTTGAAGACACATGTTAATGATTTCATCCACCTCCTGTCTTGACAGTTCATTTATGTTTTGAATCTGCACTTGCAAAACACATAGATAATAAGAACAAGACAATCGACCGACCGACCACCACCATAACAGACAGCAACAATTGTTTCGATAGCAATATTTACAAGGTAACTGTATTCTGGCCACTTGTAGGAACACAAGACACGCTTGAGAGAGAGAGAGAGAGAGAGAGAGAGAGAGAGCGAGCGAGCTATATTAGTTATGTCTTTTGCCTAAGTACACCTTCATTAAAAGCAAGGACTTCTCCTCAGCTGCTCTCTCAAGTGCACTTGTCCCAGAATTAAGAAGAGATGCAAGTAATGTCAAGGTAGGTTGTAGTGATGCAGCAGCAGTACGGTAATCACCACCATCAGAAACCTACAACGAGACATTCTGGTCAATAAAAGTTCTATCAACCTGATAAAATCTACAAACATATCTTCAGCGATAAAGATTTCCACATATATACCTGCAGTCGTAGCATCTTTTTAGTGACGAGATAATATAGATAAGACATCAGGCTAAAGCATAGCCGAAATGAGCTCAACTCTGACTTCTTTTGACTCTGTCCATGCCAAATAGAATCAAACAACTAGGTCAGATTAATAAGATATTTCATCATATGTAGAAGTACAATAAGATTACCTCAAGAACACATACTTGTTGAGCAAAACTAGGAACGCCAGATTCAAAAGAAAAGAGAGCACGCATCATGGCAAAAAGTGCTTGGACAAAACCGCACTCATCAATCTCTTCGAAAGGCCAAACCTATGTTAAAAAAGAGAAGATTTCTTAAAGATAATTACAGGCTGGTCAATGCAACAGCTAATGAGAATTAGCTAAAACTTATACATGATTCAATGAAGCGAAGTTGAATGCATTAAGCTATCAGCCACACAATACATTAAAAAGGTCATTACCTTACTTAGGATACCAACTACAAGATTCATCTGCTCAATTGTCAGTTCATCACCAGCAGAAATATCTTGCCAAAGAACTTGATCAAAGAGTAGTTGATGTCCTCTAACAAAATCTATAATCTCACGGACAATTTTATTCTTCACCTATTACAGATAAACAAAAGCAATATGTTGACAAACAAAAAAAATGTGATTGAACTAGACAAATTCAACAGGAGCATCGTGGCATCACGCCAAGCTTCAGATAGCTATGTAGGTATTCAGGAAGAACGAGCACTCTTTGTTAATTTGCATGCAACTCAAAAAGCATCATCAATAAAATGGGAAACTGTAGCATTTAACTTGCAGACTCGGTTGTTGGTTTCACTGCAACATAGGGGTGGTCAATGAGGAAAATCACAATTGAAGTGCTAAACATTTTTTAGGCTTCGTTTGTTTCACGGAATATCAATGATTTGGAAAAAAATTTCCTAATTTTGATCATTTACATCTCTTAGGAAAAGAGGTAATGGAAAATATTCTCATTATCAACAAAAATGTATAGGCAAAAATTATTGTTAATAATGAAATTATTTTTCATTGACTCGTTTTTTGTAAGAGATAACAATGATTAAAGTTAGGAAAATATTTTCCAAATTGTTGATTTTCCACGAAACAAACGGAGTCAGAGTAGTCACAATAGGCATAAACATTTTATTTTGGTCATTTGAGCCTTAAGTGCATTAGAAAACTCACAATCAAGGTCTAGAATCATCACATATGATGTAGTCCATTGTGGCGTGAAAGTTTTGAGCATCACATTTTGGTTGTATGTTCAATATCAAAAGTGATGTTTAAATTTTACATTGCTTTGTTTTCCACTTGATGACAGTGACATAATGAAATTTTACAAAAGTTCGTAATTTGAAAACAATCAAATATATGTCAGCGAACTATTCAAATAAGCGCTGGTAACGTGGTGCCAGTTGGTTATTTAACTGAATCAGATATGAACTCACTCAAATTAACGTTATTAATTATAGGAAGTAAATTTCGAAAAATAGGTTACATATGTAAATAGACCTTTGGTAAACTATGCAAATAAAAACTTGATCAGTTATTACAAATTGGTAATTTGGAAAAAATCAAACAAAAGTCAGTGACCTCAAAAAGTAGAAAACTTAATCAGACAAAAGTTGTTAAGTCACTCAAATTAAGATAAGTAATTTGATATGCCATAAGAGTTAGTAACCTTAAAACGTTGGTAATTTATATATTCTCTATAGAATTTGCTCTATAAAAACTGCAAAAGAGGCTGTAAAGAGGAAATTATCTTTATAATATAAAACCTGCCAATTCATTAGTAGCTGAATATCAGTAACTACACTCTTTGGCGAAGTGGACATTCAAAGAATTGGAACTGTTAGGATAAAAGAAATTCACTGACCTCAAAAATATCAGATTTTTCTACCAGTGATGTTAGAGAGAACACTAATCGTAAAATGGGAGTGACGACCATTCGCTGTTTGTCAACTTCAGCAGCCACATAACTTCGATTCTTAGAGTCTACAAGCCTTCGGGATCCCTGACACAGGATTTATGTTAGCTTAAAAGAACATAATGATAAAAATACCCAGAATAAGCAAATTATAAGATACATCACCTGCATACTCACTGCCTTGCTTGAGGAAATATGCTCCAAGGCACCCATGGATAACAAAACCTGGGCCCCAGATTTGCCATATTTGTTGCTGATTCTCAAAAGAAAAGCAAGTTCAGCCTCAAGAGTACACGCTCTTTGCATCGAGTCAAGGGAATGACCACCGTCCTAACAGGAGGAGAAAAAAACCTTTAAAATATAACTCCGACACTTACTTGGAGAGATGACTTATGTAATTGGACTAGAGGAAAGCATCATCAATAACAGTCGTGACAATAGAGTCTGTGATTTCAAGAAAGAAAGCTTCAAATTTTTAACATGGGGTACTGAAACAACTTCACATGGAATGCATCAACCATGAGAATGAACCAAAGAGCAGGAAATGCCAGATGCTGACATTGCAAAATTAAGTCCAGATTTCAATTTAGGACTGAGAGACTTCTTTTTATTAAATATTTTAGCCGAAGACAATACAATTCACTATATGGTAATATTCTGATAGTCAAAAAAAAATCCTGTATTTAATATATAGTACAATTAACAACACCATTGATACAGAAACTTTTACAGGTGAAGCACAGCACAAACCCCCTTTCTGGCTGTCCATTTCACGTCCAATGCCAAAAGTAAACAAATGAACAATGTCACCCATTAAAGTCAAGTAAAGAAACTTAGAATAAGAAAGCTAACAAGCAAAATTAAAATATGACATCGATTATCCCTCTATTTATCTGAATGGATAGAGACATAGAATGAAAATACCCTTTATAGTGTAATTTATAGCTCATACTATAGTGACTCACATGAGATTACAAAAGATTTCATATAAATTTACAAGCCAACTAACCTGGAAAGACACATTGGTAATGTTCATGAAGCA